CTGTAGGGGAGGACGAGCTGATGGCGGCAACGCCCCGGCCCTTCCCCACCGCGGTTTCGGCACGAGGGCCTCACCGGTACAATGCGACATCTATTCCCCTCCCTCCCCCAGCACAGGGGATTAATAAAAATTTGGGATTATATATTATTAACAGGCTGTAATTGGCAAGAAGGTGGGGGGGAGGGAGGGGAAATATGGATTTAAAAAAAATTGCCAAGTAAATTTATGCACTGTCGTCGCTTTACTACCTAATTAATTCAGTAATTTCAAAAACAATTTTATTTATGTTCCATTTACCACATCAAAAGTGCAAAGAAAAAAAAGCACCAAACCGCAGTGATGCTAAAATAATACCTCAAGGCATCTATTTTTAATCAGGGGGAAAAAAAAAAAAAGAAAAAAAAAAAAGAAGCCGGCCTCGGTTTCTATACAATCTCTGTCGGGCAGACCACCAACTCGGGAGAGCGAAGCAGCCGAGCCCTCCGCGAGTGCCTTCCTGGCTGCCGAAAACAGAGCTTGTCAAAAAAAAAACAAATCCATAATGGCCTGAGGCTCCTCTCCAATCTATTTTCTGCTCAGCTGGTTTTAAATGAAGTTATTATGAGTCATTAAAACACCCGCAAGCCTGTGGAAGTCAGCCAATTACAATTTTAAATTTAGCCTGTTCTCTACCCCATTCTCTTGTTTTCTTCTTTTGCCCACATCAAGCTGCTTTTTGATTTTTATTATTGCTGTTATTAGTATTATTATTATTTCCCTTCTCCCCTGTTTCACCCAAGTGGAAGAGACAGTTGTGAAAAACCTTCGCACTAAAAAAAAATACATCGGAGAAACCCAAGGAGGGCCAAAAAAAAGACCCAGCTGCAGAGCGGGCTTGGATTTAGAGAGGCAAACGCCTTTGCCTCCTTTTTTCCCAAAGTGCCATCGAAAGGCAGTAACCGAATATGAGGAGAAGAGCGAGGTGCAGGCTTTGGGAGGTGGGGGGGGACACCGGACCCCGGCAAACGCCAGCC